CAACTTCAATTGGCCATATCAATTGCCCTTGTGTGAAATGTAGAAACCATGAAATGCATCTAGTAGAAACTGTGATAGTGCATATACATCGATTTGGTTTTGATCCATTGTATAGTACATGGATTCACCATGGTGAAGTAGAAGCGGTTTCAGGTGTCGAACCAATAGTTAATCAACCAGTAGACGAGATGTTTGCAGTCTTAGAAGACGTTGCTGGGATTAATGATGACAATGAAATGTTGGATGAGATGCATGTGGATCTAGAAGATGTACAATACGTTGAATTTAAGGATCTACTTTCTGAGCCCCAGGTGGGATTGTATCCGGGCTGCACTAAGTATTCGTCATTAAATTTCTTAGTGAAGTTGATGCATTTAAAAGTGTTATATAAGTGGCCTAATGAGTGCATGGATGCTCTGTTAAATCTATTGAAAGATGCATTCCCGGATGTGAAGTTACCTTCTTCTCATTATGAGTCGAAGAAGCTCATGAGTAAACTTGGACTGGGTTACGAAACAATTCATGTCTGCCAGTACGATTGTGCTTTGTTTTGGAAGGAGAACGCTGATCTACAAACGTGCCCTGTATGTAAAACATCCCGTTGGAAGAAAAAAAAGACAAAGGGTACTAAACAAGTGCCGTGGAAAATTCTATGTTATTTCCCATTAACAGATCGGTTGAAGCGTCTGTACGTTTCTCGTCACATAGCTAAAGATATGACGTGGCACCAACGTGGACGTTCAAATGATGAGGATTTAATGCGTCATCAAGTCGATGGTAATGAATGGAATGAGGTAGATAAAAAGTATCCTGAGTTTTCACGTGAACCGAGAAATATTCGCTTGGGGTTGGCCGCTGATGGTTTCAATCCTTTCGGGAACATGAGCATCTCATACAGTATGTGGCCGGTGGTTTTAACGGCCTACAATTTACCTCCGTGGTTATGCACTAAGGATCCTTATAAGATGTTGACATTGTTGATTTCTGGCCCAATGCACCCGGAAAGGATATGGATGTCTTTTTAAGGCCCCTTGTGGATGAGCTAAAAGATTTGTGGAATGAAGGAGTCATTGTACGTGACGCAGTTTTGAATACATCATTTCATATGCGGGCTATGTTGCTCATGACAGTTAATGATTTTCCTGCTCGTAGTAATTTATCTGGATGGAGTGGTCAGGGCTATTTAGCATGCCCAACTTGCAACGATGCAACTCCTTTAAAGAGGATAACAAGTAAGACTTGTTTTGTTGGCCATCGGCAATGGTTTCCTATTAAACATGGGATGAGAAAAAATAAAAAGTTTTGATGGTATGGTTGAGAAACGACTTCCACCGGCTCGAAAATCTGTTCACCAAATCTTAGCTCAGTTACAAAATGTGTCCATCAGATTGGCTAGTAAACATGAAAAGTATGGTGGTAAGAAGCGGAAAAGACATGCAAGCGAGCTTAATTGGACAAAGAAGAGTATCTTTTGGGAGTTGCCTTATTAGAAGTCATTGTCGTTACGTCACAACTTAGATGTCATGCATATTGGAGTTGGTTCTCAATCTTGATGGCCATGTGCACCATATCCTCCAACTCCACATAATGTTGCAACTCCACCAAATTAGCAATTTTCCGGTTCAAACCAACCAAGACCCTAGCCATAGTAGACTCTCAGTCCTCCTCTATATTAGCGCGGATCATAGCAATTTTCATCTCCTTATAATATTCCTCCACACTCTAATTTTGTTGTGTAAGGAGTTGCAATTTTTGGTGCAACTCCCGGTGGATTGGTACAAATCGCCTTCTCATCACCGTTTTCATCTCCTTCCATGTCTCAATTAGGAGCTCTCTATTCCTTCTTCTATTCAACATCAGTTGATCCCACCATACAAATGCATACTCAAAAAATTCAATGGCAACGAACTTT